CACGATCAGCAGCTGGATTTAATAGTAGTTTAGCTTTTGAATTCATACTATCACAAAATCATATGGTTGGGCTGCGCTGCTACACACTGAAAGCTAACACTGGAGGCGGACTGAAACCCACGATTTGAAGAGGTCTTGCTCAAAGCCAGCTCCATAAAGAAATGGTTAGTTTGGTGTTGAAGAACTGGACTGGCCTGCACAGAGCCCTGATCTGATCTGCATCCAACACTTTTGGGATGAACTGGAACACTAACTGTGAGCAAGACCAGATCGCCCCAGCATCAGAGCTGGACCTCACCAACACTCTCGTGTCTCAATGGGAGCGAATCCCTACAGCAGGTTCAGCATCTGGTGGAAAGTGAAGGCCGATAAGGCAGGGGAGATGTTGAACTATCACATATGAATAATTAAAGGTTTTATGTCACAGACCTATAGAAGTTCTGGTTGATTAATGTTAGAGTATGCTGTTGCAGTCGTGGCTCTAGATGATGCTGGTTTTTGTCTCCACTGGGAGCTGGAGTCACTTCAGAAGAGGACCAGCGGGAGTTTTTATCCTGCAGCTTCATATCGGCTCCATATGCTGCGGCTCTGCTCACAAGGCTTAACCGCAACCACCACAACATGTTGGGACAGTTTTAACCCAAAAACAACATCTGGCCTTTAAATGCTTTTGAGGCTCATATAAGCTACGACAGTTTTTACAGCCGGCAGTTAGGCTGTTGATGTGATTCGGAAGCTCCGGTAGCACGTGACTAAACTGGGAATATTAAGGGTCCACTTCAGTTTACTGCAGTTTACAGACGGTCTCTGAGCAGATGGATCGAGGTGTAAAAAACTCTCTTCTGGATGTCAGTTTCAAGGATTCTCCACGAGCGTTCCAGATGTTGTTTGATGAAAACTCCAGGACTTTTCAAGGTGAGACTACAGAACACAAACATTTACATAGAACTAGGGCTGTAAATAGAGCTCCTCCTTCTCCCATCTTTCATCCTCCTTTCTAACAAACTCTTCTCTCACGCCTCATTTCTTCCTGTCCACCCTTTCCTTTCACTTTCTCTCTCGTCGGCTTCTTATCTCCTCCCGTCTCCTCACCCTCTCCTTCCTCCTCCTCCTCCTCCCCCTCTGTCCGACACAGTTACCAGGTGTTGACATGTTGATGTGACCCCTGCCAAAGTGACGGCGCTCACCGGCCCTTTAAGGACGAAATCCTCCCCGGCAGCAGGTCGCTATGGCAACCATGGACCAACACACACACACACACACACACACACACACACACACACACACACACACACACACACACACACACACACACACACACACACACACACACAATAACAGGGAGAGAGAGAGGGTCGGCCGCTGTGTGTTATCTCCATAGTGTTCATGTTGTTTCAGAGTGTGTTGGATATGATAAGATATTGATCCTCCACTTTAGAAACAATGTTTTCATCCAGCTGTCAACGCTCATCAGTGAGGGAACTTCCTGTGGTCACAACCTGTAAATATAACCCCACCTGGGTCTGAACATGGTGGCCGTTTGTTGGACAGTACGACTGGAGGTCATGGTTTCCCTGAATGTTAACTGACTTCTATTAGAGCTACAATTCACCATTACTATAAAAAACAATTGATCATTTTTCTGCTGAGCTGATGAAATCATTTAATCATTGTGTCAATGTTAAAATTATTGTTAGAATTACCATAATTACCAGAAACCTCTATGGAAGCCCATTTCCACCACTTAACCCCATTACTTATGTCAGAATTATGAGAAAAAAAACACTAAAGACATAAAAATTGACTTTTATAAACCTCAGACTTTCTACAAAATCTCACATGGCAAATGACACTCAACCCTCCATGAAGATTTTTCACAATAAAAGTCTTCCAGCCTTTGCTTTGTTGATAGGCTTTTATTCTGAAAAACACACATGAGGCGGTGTGTTTCATGCATGCTAGCTCAGCACGGATGGGTCGAATGGCAAAGTGGAAAAACTGGAAGAACTAAAGCAGTTTTGTGTCAGAAGGAGACATACATTATGCATGCTATGTTGAATGTGTGAAGATAAGCGGTGAACAGAAAAGATAACGTAACATAAGACATTAAAAACCGATAAGATAAGCTATCTGTTATTTTGCTCCGACTGAATCCTGCAGTGATTTCCATCTTGTTGCCATGAGCACCAGCAGCAGCCGGCTGGACATGACAGCCAAAAGCCTCCCTCCTCCCTCCTCCGCCCTCCATCCCTCCATCCATCTTTTGCTCATCTCTCCCCTTCGCCATCTGCCCTCTATCTGTCTCCTCTACCTGCTCTTTCTCCTCTCCCGTTTGCCATCCATTCCTCTACTGCACATCGCCCTCTTTTTTAACTCCTAGTCAAGAGTTTTTTTGGCCTAAAATTTCACACACTTTCTCTCTTTACTGACAGCACCTCTCTTCTCACCCCTCCAACCTCCTATGTCTCTCCATCCCTCTAAAATTGTAATATATAGGGATGAAACTGAGCAGACTGGGTATACTGGTAGGAACTCGTCAGTTCAATAATTCAACAGATCTGTCAGAGTTGACCCGCTGTCTGCAGGTCGAACAGATTAAAAATTAAGACCCAAAGAGCCAACTGGGCTTTATAACGGTCTACAATGTTCCTTATCATCAGAAATGTGTTTTTATTGTTGTGCTTTTTAAAAATATGTGATGTTTTAAAACTCTTAAAGAACAATATTGATATTTGTCCCTTGAGAAGCAAGAATTAGAAGAATTTTTCTTCGTTCCCATCCATCATCTCACAGTTCATGTTATTTTATTACCCAACTCTAACTGAGTCTGGAACTGAGTTTTAGTTTTTCCATTTTGGATTATTTTAATAAAAATGTTTTAAAATCAGATAAAGAAATGAAACGTGATGCAGATATTTGAACAAGATGTTCACTGACTCATTTGTTTTGCACCAAAATCTCAGATCTTGCAATACAATATCAGCTCGTAGTGACTACAGCATTATTCAACTTCTGATGGTTATGTGTAGGCACTCGCAGCACTTGGACATGAGGTTTGGGAAAAAAGGTGGTCAATTCAATACAGAAAAGGTCTGCGTAAGACACCGACCAAAATATCAGCTTTCTACACAGTGTCTCTAATGGGTACGCTGTACTGTGCAGGGTTCTTGAGGTTGTTTTTTAAATGTTAATTCAAAAAAATATCGTAATTCCAATAATAATAATAATTCCAATACAATAATTAAACTATAATAAGTTAAATAAATAAGTGTAAATGTAAGTTCAATAAACCACATTTCACTGCTGTTGCCTCCCTAAGAATGACAGAAGATCTTCACTGAAATCAAGTTTCAGATCTACAGTACAGCCGTGTTATTGCATGATGACAAATGTTTAGTTTGTACTTTTATTTCTACAAAAAACTATTTAAAAGGTGTTACACTAATGAAAAATGTCTCAATCTGCCAGCAGACAGGAGTATGTTAATGCCTGCTTGTTACATTTTTCTACTCTAGTGGCAGATAAAGCCTGAACATAATCCCGGCTACGATTACATTTGTCAGCACAACATAATTGGGGAAACCATTAGTACTTTACTTTACAGTATTAGTAGAAGACACGGTTGGAGGAGCTCAGTGGAGGAGGAAGTCGGGATGTCGGGGGGGTGTCTCTACAAACCTCTAATTGTCCCAACAGTTGCTGAAAGAAACCAATAATTCTACACACTGCTCCAGGTGTGACAGCTAATGCAATACACACACACACACACACACACACACACACACACACACACACACACACACACACACACACACACACACACACACACACACACAGAGTCAATTACAGAGCGGCTGTGACCCAGAGCCCTAGAATCATCACAGCATTGACTGATTCTGTCCTCGGCTACTGTTGTCATTGTGACAGCGAGTCACTTCGACAGGACGCTGACCTACATCCCACCACAGACACACACACACACACACACCACACACACACACACACACACACACACACACACACACACACACACACACAGTCAAGCTTGAAGATTGAGTTCTCCACAACAAAATACACTGAATCCAAAAAATAAATAATAAAAACTGAACATTATACTGGAATAAGAACATTAAACACACACACACACACACACACACACACACACACACACACACTCCAAAGTGAGCTGCCCATCAAGGCTTCCTGCTTCATTTGATCAATCCAGGAAGCGACCTCTATTGATGTTCCAGTCCACCGATCGGGAAGACAGCCACCTCTGATCATTAGTCAATAATGGAAAAGTACAAATCAATGGGAAAGGTGCAAACTGCCTCACAATAAGAACCCAGAATACTGAGACTGCTGCGGTTTCTGTGGCTGACGGTCACCAACCACAGCCAGAGGGTGATCACTGAGTGCTCAGATCAAACTCCAATTATATGCCTCAGAGACTCCCATTCTCATGCAGGATTGCATCATTTCCTGTGGGCGTGGCCATCGGCACATTGTTTGATATCAATGACGTGTATCAGCATAAAGGTCTGGATGTTACGGTCACATACTGAACTGTAACCTGTTAACACAGGCCTGCTGAGTTTGCAGACATTTTGAGGCCGTCGATTGAGTTAATTAATTTATCAAAGTGATCAAATCGGCCCAAACATTCTTTAAACGGCACAATTCTGTCAAAATATATAAAAGTGCTCAACAACATGGTCATGTTCCAAACTTTGGCAACTATACAACATATATAGGGCTTTCTTGTCTCTACCTATAAATAAATAAATAAATAAAAATTTTACACAAATGCTGCAGCCGACAACTACACAACCAGCGACGACGACAACCGCCACCAGCTAGCATCTCACCACGAGTCCAACGACTTCAATCATTTATTCAACATCTGCAACAGTTTTATTTCTGATCATAAAAACCACAAACAGCAGCTTTACGACTTTACAGCAGGAAACACCAACTCAGACAGACATGTTGACACGTACCTCGGCTGTTGGTTGCAAGGTCGGCCACCTTCTGGAAGGCATCCAGGAAGGCTGCTACCGCGACAACCGTCGTCCTGGAAGACACAACGGAGGAAGGTTTGCATATAAAATAGTATTTTAAAATATATTTAATATGTTATATCTCTAGAACACTTGTTTTTGCCACTGACAGGCTCAGGTTGTTATTCTGACATTATGGAAAAGATCCCTACAGACACCATTTTGTTAACATTTTGTTGCCTCGATCAGTTTTATCGTGATTGTATTGTTAATTTTGAGTGTTCCAGTTTTAAGTCAATGCTGCACTAAGTGGAATTTAGTGGAGCTAATCTGAGCTTTAATGTGCTTGAAGTGTTCAGTGTGCAAGTATCGGATCAGACCACAGTATCGGCAGAAACTCAGTGTTAAATGTCTCGGATCAGGGGAAAAAACGTATATATGCTTATAAGATTCTAGTTTTTGGTCCATAAACTGGCTGTGGATTGTGTCATATTCTCTTTATGCACTCATTCTGTCCCTTTATGCATGTTACTAACTCCACTTCTTCCCCGGTTTTTTTTTTTTTTTTATATATGTTATAATTCTGTTATGAATTGGTCCAATAAACTGGATTGAATGGGATTGAATTGTCATATTCAGGGAGAGTAAAATATTACACATTTAACATCTAATCCTTATATAATCGTTCATATTTGCAGGTTTATTCTTATTTCTATCTGTTCTACCAAGTGTTTCTTGTTTTCAGACCCTATTGGAATATCTCACTGATCTTGATATGTATATAAGCACATTTCAAGTCTCTGAAAGTTGATTTTTCATGTCATCCTAAACTGAAATCAATAGCTGCCTGAAAGGGAGGAAATCGATGGAAAGTATGGCAGAAGATCGGTGGTAATGGAAAGTACTGAGAGCGGGATAAAACATGCTAAGCAAGGGTTTGGTTCTTTAATCCCAGATACATAAACGCTGCCTAAAACGCCAAGATGGGGTGTGGTGAGGAAGAGGAGGAGGAAGGATGCAGTCTGAGTGTTTGTAATCAGCTTTGACCTCTGGTGACCTCTGGCCCAGTGCAGAATCTCTGGAGGCTGCTGCTGATCCATCTCACTGATAATGACTTTATGGTGGCATCATTAATCTCTGCCAGCCGCAGAAGGTTAATTGAGTTGTGCACATGTGTGTGTGCGAGTAGTGTGTGTGTGTGTGTGTGTGTGTGTGGGTGAAGGTGGATGTTGGTGGGTGGTTAATGTAATGGCTGGAAGGAGTGAGTGTATGTGTGTGGAGGTATTGTCCACGATGATTTAATGTTTAAGTGTATGTTTGTATGTGCATGTTTCTCTACGTGTTTGTGTGTGTGACCTTCAGTGGTGTGTGTGTGTGTGTGTGTGTGTGTGTGTGTGTGTGTGTGTGTGTGTGTGTGTGTGTGTGTGTGTGTGTGTGTGTGTGCGCGCGCAGAGCCAGTGAACCAGGATATCGGGGACGAGGCGACAGAACAGGAGAGGTGAGCCTGACATTTAAACACTTAATGAAACAGACTGATTGGATTTTCATGAGCTCAGGTTATACAGACTCTCAACATGTGTGTGTCTGTGTGTATTATACCTGTGCACACACTTCCCTTTTTCAACGTCAATGAGAGAAACGAAAGTGTCGGTTTTTAACACATTCTGCAGAAAAACATGAATATCTGAAACATCACCTGCAGGTTTATAAAGAGCTGTTCTGAACCCCTCGAATTAATGGTAGAACAGAGCCGCTGCCTGCTTTTCCTGCTATAACACGTCCAAATGTCGGCTGGAGGAGAGCTCTATGAATGTGTTTCTTTTAAGAAACGACGAAGAAACGAGAGTGCTCTGGTTCCAGCGAGGCTTATCAGGATTCAGACTAAAAGGATTTATTCAAGAAGTGAAAAACTGGCTTTTTTAAAAACCCCTTCAAGAAGTCTTTTTCTTTTTTTAACCAAAATAAATTTTTAATAAAATCTGATTTTCTATAAAACTTGGTTTGCTATTTGCTAAATGAACATTTAGCAATCTGACAACACAAATGGTAAATGTGCTGCAAATACAGAAAACACAAGCAGATACAGGGACACTGTCAACTGATCAATATGTCAGAAATAAGCCCACAAGCTTTATTTTAATTTTACTGTTACTGCTACTGTGATTGTGTGATCTTATTATTACTGGAGATTAGGGGTGTAAGGAAATCTCCACACGCTTGAGTATCGCAATGATGATTTAAACTGGTGTCGATATTACTTGTACAAACATACAACTGAGTAACATATAACCATTTGTTGGTGCGCATGGTTTTCATAAAAAGAACTGAAGGATCATATTGTATATAACAATGTGTAGTTTGTTCATATTGACAAAATGTTAAACATTTATATTTGTGTAGGCAATCTAAGCAGCTTAGATACCGGGTACGACACTGCGACTCAGGGGCTTTTAAGCGGTTTTATACATCCAAACAATTTCTATAAAATCCAGACCAGGCGTCTAATTGAGATCTAGTTCATTTGTCGAAACATGCAGCGACAGCAGGCTGTCAAAGGGACCTGCGTCTTATTTTAAATGAACTTTTACTGTACATCTCCCACAAAAACTTGTCCAATCTTGTCTTGTTGTTTGTTGGTAAATGTGTCTCTCTTTTTCCTTCCTTCCTTTCACCTTTCTGTGTGAAGGGTTTGTTCTTTTTTGATGAGATGCATGTGTTGTCAAAGTGGTGAAGCTGGTTATTTGGTCTATTACTTGCATGTGATTTCTCAAGTTGAAGTGTATTGAGCTCTGTTGCCACTGTTGTTTGTTTGTGTGTGCGTGTGCGTGTGCGTGTGCGTGTGTGTGTGTGTGTGTGTTACCTGAGCTGTGATTGTAGTTTGCTGGCCTTGCTGATGAAGTCGTCCCAGACAGGGTAACTGCCCTGGAGGGAAAAAGTGAAAAGAAGGCTGAGAATTTACATCAAAACAGCGTTTTCCTTTACAATGACGTACAAACACAGAATAAAAATCTTATTATGGAAGGTTTTTTAAATCTGCATGTAGTGTTGATTAATCATTGTCTGTTTAATAGGGCCACTATCAGACAAACAGTTTGGGTTTTCTTTTCATATTTATTTATATTAAATAAACACACACTCAACTATAAAACAGCCAAATAAATTCCTCCACATAAAAAGTTTGCTCATGTACGGATCGCCAGGCTCAACCAAAACACATAAATCCTGAGCCTGGGATGCAGCAGTGAGCCAACTGACAACAAGGAGACAGATCAATACCACCGATCCATACGCCACACCCACCCCAGCCCGACTAGAGGAAGCCAAACGAGCGCCCCCAGGCATGCAAATACAGTTTGGGTCCACAGACTGGGTCTAATGTGAGACGGATACAAAGAGTGAGAAACCAAAACGCTGCAGTGCGGTACTGCTGGATGTGTGTTCAGAAAGTAGGCTGAGGCGCTGCAGCCAAACACACAAAGACAGAAGAAACTGGGGTACGCTTCTAATGTCAGCAGTAGTCCCCTGATGCTTTTTTTTTGGGGGGGGGCTTTTCTACTGCAGCAAAACATCTGAGGCACCTTCACTCCTCACTGGATTCAGTAGAGCAGACTCAGAACTGTGTCACCAATTTAAATAAACTACTTTAAACCACATTGTAAAATACTACAAGAGTCCTAGAATTAAAAGACACTTTAAAATCCACTTTTATGTCCTCTGTATGAAAATAATGTTTGGCCATGGCCACTTTTAAACAGATTGTATATAATATACTTATAATATTATATTATTACTATATTGTTTTGGTATTTTATTTTTATGTGTACTAAAAGCCCTAAATAAAGAGAACTTCCTTACATTATAAGCGTTGCAGAAATCATACCCTGTATCACTAAAGGTATGTGGACATCACTGTAGCCATCATACAAATGGCATACAGTGTGAGTATCGTATTAACCCCGCTTTCATGTGGTGTGAGAATAATGGCGACTGCCCCCTGAAGTCAGGGAACAACTCTTGTTGTGGCACACCACTCGCTGAGCTGACGCCGTATCATGCAGAAACATGTTGGACGACAGTTGGGTTAACCTTTTATTAATTTACATAATTTGTAATATGGTATTAGGTTGTAACCTTTTAATTGCTGTCCACAGTAAGTGATTAGTGACTATATTAGTTTGAATTATATTCTTTATTACCTCTGATGCTCTTCATTGTCACACAAACGCTGGAAACAGCTTTAATGAGCCAGAAAATACAACACATCTTCTTTATGGCGTCCATGTTGTTTCCACATTATGACTTAAAGCTCTTGAACGCAGCAAAGCACGAAAGAACGACTTCCAGACTTGGGAAATGGGACCGTCCGAGGAGCACCTGAATGCACCACGAGATGCTCTCGGAGCTGTCAGGGCTTTGCACCTTGTGGGCGTCGCCTTTTGTCAGCGTCACCGTCGTTCCCCTCCAACAGCCCAGCTGAGCTGAGCTGGGTGTGTTCGGCCTTGTTCTGTTTGCGAGAGTGATGCCCAGCGTCATCGCCTGGCTACCGTTGCTACGGTAACGCTGCTGCTGCTGCTGCTGCAGCTGCAGAGGGCCTTCAGACAGAGAAGGATTTGTAGGGAGGGGGAGAGTCACACGTGCATCCATTCTCACCCAAACACACACACACACACATTTTTTTCTGTGTCACACATTTGCTTTCTTTGTTTCTCTCTTTCATATTCCACACACATTTATTTTTCGGTCTTTTTTTTCTGTCCTTGATGCACACACACTCAATCTTTTCATTTTTCACAGGCACTGTCATATTATCTGCCTGCTCTTTATTACTCGTTCATCTTTTCCTCTCTATTACACTGTATATATACCCACATCTCATTACATCCTCTCTCTCTCTCTCTCTCTCTCTCTCTCTCTCTCTCTCTCTCTCTCTCTCTCTCTCCTCTCTCTCTCTCTCTCTCTCTCTCTCTCTCTCGGACTCGCACCGAGGCGAGGGCAGGGCCGCTGCATCAATCAGTCACTGAGGACATAAATTGTCACCGTGGCAACAACCGGAGGCAGCAGCAGCGGTAGCAGCAGCCTGCTGGTCCTTCAGGAATCCTCTGTTTGTTTGGCTCTGTGAGCGACTGCACGGGCTTTAAAAGGAGAAATCCCTGTTTGGGTTTTTCTTTATCTGTGAGATAACAACACAAATCTGATTCCCCAAACTTCACAATGACCGCGTTGTCCTCTGGTGTAAAAGCCAATAAAAAAGCCTGAGGAAACGACTGAACATTTGCTTCAGCCCAGACTTTTCAAGCATTAGGAACAGCATCTACCTTCTCTCTAAAAGGTCCCCAGGTGGACTCAAACTGGGGGTGGGGAGATTACATGGGCAGAATCCATAAATCCACAAAGATGGATGCTACATCTGGTGCTGTGGATGAGGGGAAACTGTTGCCTTGTCTTGCTATTTGACTTTTACATGCTGAAATCTTGCCACAAACGCTGTCATTTAACATTTCTACGAGTGTGTCATCACTGTGGGCGTGGCTTATTCGGCACACCTCCTTCAGCATGTGTTTGGTGCCAAAGCGGTCCGGCAGATGAATTGGACCTTAAAAGGAATATTCTGACATTTTGGGAAACTGGTTTATTCGCCGTCTTGCCGAGAGGTTGGACAGGAAGACTTACATCACTCTGATAGTTTAGCTCGTAGCTTAGCATAAAGAAGAGCTCCCTAATTAACACGCTGTACCTCTTCTGTTGAATCTGCACCAAAACTGAAGTGTAAAAATGTCAAGTTGTAGTTTTACGGAGGGGTGGGGGGTTATGTGCCGGACTGTCAGCCAGGACCAGTTGCCAGGCAACCAGCTGAGACTCCAGAAGGGTACCGCTCGCAGCCAAGAAATAGTCCGGCACATAGGCCCCCCCCCCCCCTAACAACAGTGGATTGTTGGTTTTACACCTCGGTTTGTTGGACAGATGTAACAGGCGAGCTTTAATGTGTTCATTTGTGAGCTTTAGAGGTGCTGTAGGTCAATTTTGGAGAGAGCCATGCTAGCCGTTTCCTCCGTTCCCAGTTATTGTGCTAAGCTAAGCTAACGGGCTGCTGGCTCTTATTTAAGACACAAGAGTGTTTTTGATATTATATAATAATATATATATATATATATATATACTTTCACTAGAGCTTGAAGTTAAATTAAGATTCTACTGTACATCTATATATCTATTTTATCATGTATCAGAGATGTAGCCAATATTTACATCTTAACAAAATATAACAAAATGTAATAAAAGAAAGGCAGTTGGACTTTGGATATATTGCCTCTAAATCAGCACACAAGCTGCCTTCAACCTTTAAAATAAGGTTGCCTATAACTTTTAAATCATAATGAATTTCCTTTAAAGGTGTATATGATGTTAAGAAGATTAATACCATTTCACAAATCTATGATAGTGAATACTTGTTACAGTAGTGTCTTCGGGCATTTACTGGAAAAAAGGCCCGCTTTTGGTGAACGCATCCGACACTAACTCCAGAATAATATATCAACCAAATCCAACCAAGTACCCAACGGTGGAATTCACCTCTTAAAAGCAGAAACACTGCCCCTGACGTCAGACAGTAAATCATCATCAGAGAGCAGAAAAAGACTCAGAGAGAGTCAATGCCAACAGACGAGCACACAACAAAAAAACAACAGCACAGTGACCCATTTGGCCGAGGCACCAAAGCCGATACAGCAGCTCCCTCCGTGAGGTTTCCATGACGATCGCGATACTGATGCACGGCCCCCCCACCCCAAAAAAAAGAGAGCAGGATTATTTTAGCTCAGAGGTGATTAAGACGACAGCTCAGTCCAAGATAAATGGTGATTAGCATTCAGCTAATGCGCTCAACGGCATTACTTTAGACACACACACACACACACACACACACACACACACACACACACACACACACACACACACACACACACACACACACACACACAGAGCCTTGAACCCTGGTAGCAACAACAGGGTTAGAAAAGCTACAATAACTTAGCATCACAGTTGTTTTCAAAGACAACATAATTAAGAAAGTGTGTTTACTGATGGGTTTGTTGTTTACAGTAATACTTCCTGTCACTTGTCTCTCACAGGAAGAACTGGAAGTCTGTTAATTATCATATTTAACACACTGCGTGTATGTGTCAATCCCTCAGAAAATGAAATGTAATCTACAGTCGAATTACAGAGCTATTTCTCCTAGTTCATCTTTTCATTTACGCATTATCTGAACCCGTTTTTAGTCTGCGGGGGGGCTGAACCCTCCAACAGCACATAGTGTTCACTCAGAGGGGTCATAGGTTGGAACATGTCCACACAGAAAGTAGAATCTGAGCTTTACAGCCACCAATTAATCTAATGACTGCTGAAACGATTAGCGGATTAACCAATTAGTCAACTGACTGCCCACAATGTTGATAATATGCCAACAAACTGCACGTTCCAGATTCTCACATGTGAGGATTTGCTGATGTTTTACGTCATTATAAACTCTATCTTCTGGTTCTGGACTGTGGCTCAGACAAAAAATATCTGAAGACGTCACCTTGCACTCTGGGAACTTGTGACTGACAAAATAATCTACATATTAATCAATAATGAAAATTGTAGCACTAAAAAGCTTTACCAATGTGCTACAATAATGTAATGAGTTTTGTGTTAGAATATCTTAATTTGGGGGCTTTTCCAAGCAAATATTGATATATGTGATTGTTTGCATGGATATCTCTCTATCCGCTGCTGCTCAGGAGTTGGTGGAGATCAAAGTAGAGCTATAGTGAGAGTAAATATTGGATACAAACATGACTCAAATCAGGTAATAATGCTGTTCTGTGCCTGCTGGATGTGTAGGATTTTGTAGGATCCCTATTAGCTCAATCAAAACAGAAGCTAAACTTCCTGCTGCCCAATGACTACGTTAACAGATTAACTGTAAAACCTTTGGATGAAGTGTTTCTGAGAGTGTTTCTGTCCACCAGAGGCCAAAAATCACAAACATTGTGAGGACACTGATGTGGGCTCGTTCCAAATCCACAGCAGCAACAGTAAACCTTCAGTTCAGTGTCTATTCAACAGGGGTAAACACTATAAAAGACAGTTTAGAGGCGGATGTGAAGCTCGGTGTAAAGCAGCTCACAGTGAAGAGGATGAACCAGTTTCTCCTCCGGGGAAAAGCATGTAGCTCGGTTCCACTTAAATGGATCAACAGTAATGTGTCTCTTTCAATTTAACCAGCACAATGATGTGTGGATGATGAACATCGCACAGCCACACACAGCCCACACACACACACACACACACACACTTCCACAGTACGTGAACACATACATACATACGTGGATATACGACATACTGGCTGCAGGTGTAGCCGACCTGCAGAGAGGAAATGTGTGTTTGCTGGCGAGGAAATGAAAACGATGGAGGAGGCTACGAATGACAGCGCAGTTACATCGGGCCCTCAACAGAGTAACAGAACACGGCTGGTGGACGACAAGGGTTTAATATTTGAGGACGTCACCGTGGGCTTTTGGAAACAGTGAACTGACCAGACTAATCAATAAACAGAGAAACTGACCAACAGATTAATCAGCAATGAAAATAATCTTCAATTACAACATAAAAGAAACATTTCCAGGACGCTTTCCAGGAGTATTACTTGACGATGCAGGACAGCACTCACTCACAGACAGTTGTCATCGTTTATGGGCTGGACTGTTCTCACCACAGCTGATTTTATTGCTTTCTGAATAGACCTTTTTCACAGCAGCAATTTTTACAGGAAATAATAGGGTAAACACAAACAATATTGAGTTTTTGTTCAATTTAGCGTAGCAGAGCCCTTTCCAGTGAGCCAACACGCCCCCCCTCACTCTGTCTGACCTGAATGGAACAGAACCTTAATTAGTATCATTGTTAACACCTGTGTTACCCTATTATTTCATGTCAAAATGGCTGCTGTGAAAAAGGTCTATTGACTACAGTTTCCTCTAACCATAAAATCAATTTGGCCGCAGCACACGCTAAAAATACAATCAAAATTTTCCAGGACAACATAGATTTTTTCCAGGATTCTAATAGATTTCCAGGTGTTTCCATGACTGCAAAAGTAGCCTCTGACTTTCCAGGTTTTCAAGGGAACTAAACAGCACGTAAAAATGCTGTAGATGGTCAAACTTTTGCGTTGCTAATCCCATATATATCCAACATGTTGTTTTTAAAATAAAGTGCAAGCAAGGGAGACGCTAGTACCGAAGCCTGACAGGTTCCTACATGTTTGGAGAAGCCCTGTGTTACAGGTTGCTAAGTTCCCGCAGTGGAAAAAGGCTATTAACCTACTGTTTCACATCTCATCCCTAAATGACAGACTGTGTGAGGAGTAAAAAAAAAAGCCATTAATTATTAGTGACAGACAAGCAGGCATTCTGACTTGCCGTCATTAACCCAGTGGTTGTAAAATGTTCTCATTGTTTTCCTTTAATTAAACATAAGGATTAGTCACCTGACTCCGCAGCCTGAATATCCAAACACACAGACACAAACACAATTAGAAGCATCAGAGTGGAGTCTCCTCCACAGTGACACAGTGAAATCTCTCTCCGCCCACACGTTTATGCTAACAAGGGAGAACCTGCGTCTGGCTGTCTGCGAGTCACGTGCATGAATAAAACATCGAGCGGTCTTACAACGAGCTGCGTTTCATTTCGATTATTCAGTCAGCAATTAAAGATGAAAATAAAAAATGATTGCTCTGAGTAAATAGATATATATATCTTCATCCTCGGCGCCATCCACTGTCGTCCAACAGCTATTAAAAACACATCAGTGAGCCACACTGGGTGACATGTAGTTTATTTTGACTCAGTCACACGTACACCATCCTGCTGCCTCCAATAATCACTGGAGAACCAAATGTGGATGAATCCGCCACTGAAAACAGAACTGTTCCAATACCAGTACTGGAAATGCTGGATTGCTTTAGTATTAGGACGCGGCTATTTCCCATCATTGCCTTTGTTTTACCCAGGATGGCGAAGTCAAGACCTGCCCTGGTCTGATTGGCTTACTCTTTAGCTAGCTAAAGTTCAGCAATATAACTGTCAACCTTGATAATAAAAGAAAGTTGTGTGGCATTCATTCTCTGTATGTATTTGTTCATGTTTTACCAACCTGAGCCAGAACGACAGCATTCATACAGCGCAGTAGCAGATCGGTACTCGGCCGATATGGAGCTCAGGTATCGCATCAGGAAGGAAAAACTGGTATCGGAACAGCTGTTTGGGGAAGTCTACTTTATGCTTTTTCATCTGCTTTCTTATCTCTGACAGTTAGATTAAGATTGAACAAACAGAACTTGTGATGAGCTCATAAAATATGATGCATTGTTGGAGATTAAACTACCCAACAGTATATAAAGTAGTTCAAATGAGCTCTGAGCAACCATAAATTGCTCTTTTGAAATATCTTCTTCATGAATAAAACATTCAAACACAAGTCTACTCTGTTCACATTCACAGTGCTGCATCCCTCGCAGCGCCGATGTGCAGCGGCCATGTTTGCGAACACAACAGGTTAGAAAGCAGGTGGGAATCTCTACAGTCACATCACTGTGGAAGCATTTCATTCATTCTGCTGTCAACGTCATTAGGAGCACCAGCTTGTTATACGTTACCACAGGAAGACGAAGAGATTAAAGAGATTCATGAGAGCTGAAAAAAGGAGAAGCAGAGAAAGGACAGAGGAGAGGGGAGAGAAAGAGGAGGAGGAGGAGATAAAAGACACAAAGGAGGATGGAGAAGAGGAAAGGAGAGCAAACTGAAGGAGAGAGAAAAGAGATAGAACAGCAACAAGGAAGGATGCTGAAAGGAAGAAAGAAAATGAGGAAGAGGGGGATGTAGGAGGAGGAGAAGAGGGGGAAGGAAGAGAAACACTAAAGGGAGGTAGAAGAGGAGGCAAATGAGGAGGAAGATGCAGGGGGACAATAAAAAAGAGAATAAACAGGAGCAGAAGGGCTGGAAGACTGCATGTGGAAGAAGAGGTGCGGAGGGAGGTGGGGCATGCTGTAGGAAAAACAGGACTGCAGGAAGAGGAGGGTGAGGAAAGAGAGGAAAGGGAAGAGAAGGGACAGAACAAGCGGAGGAAGAAAGGAGGGTGTGGCAGATTTCCCAGACCTCCCTTTGTGAACCAACCACACCTGTTAGAAACCACCTGTCTGTTATTACGTCACCACGGAAACAGGTGTGTGATTGTCTCCACGGTGCCCCTCCCCCAACAACACACACGTATTGTTACCTGTGAGGACACTGTGGGCGAACCGTCACTGTTCACCACAACCTGCACATAAAGTCAACCCTCAGCAGAGCCTGAGTCAGTCTGAACCTCGTGGCCTGTTGTCCTAAATGCGGGATGAGTCATCACAATGTGAACAAGTCTGTCCCTGCACACACACACGCACACACAAACATCACACACACTCACACACACGCACACACACGCACACACACGCACACAAACATCACACACAATCACAAAGCCTGTAGACTACAATCTGCCTGTGGCGGACTCCGCCAGAAGAGGACCCGCCAATAGATCCTTCGAAATGTTACACACTGGACCTTTAAGTTCCACTGGTGAACTGAATTGAGGATATAGAGACAAATAACTACTAACAGTTATACACAGACAGTCTGTACCAATCTTCATGTCTTTTAGGATTGCAACTATTTTCATTATCAATAAATCTGCCAATCAATCATCTTCTCCATCAACCAATTAATCCTAAAGACAGAGGACGGTAAAACAATCAGTTTCCTAAAAAAGTCAAAATATAAACCCGCAAATATTCAGTTTACTATCATATAGAAGAAAGAAAATCAGGCAAATCCTCTCCTTTCAGAAGCTGAACATCATGTTGTTCGATTTATCCATTAAAGTTTCAGCTCTGACGTCATTTTTATGAAGGTTGAGTTCAAGTTCCTATTCTGTAGCACAACAGAGATAAGAAAGTCTTAAAAGCACTTTTCTCTCAGTTCATCTGTATCAGAAAATCCAAATCAGTCCATCCTTTGTCATCAACATCCCTCTCATTAGAGCTGCAACGATTAGTCGCCAACTATTTTGATAATGGATTAATCGCTTTGAGTCATTTTTATTAAGAAAAAATGTCCAAATTCTCTGATTTCAGCCTCTCAAATGGGAATATACTTTGGTTTATTTAGTCCTCTATAACTGAATATCTGGACTGTGGACAAAAAAAGACATTTGAGGACATCACATTGGACACAGTGGTTTCATTTTCTGACACTTTGTGGACAACTGATCGATTAATCCAGACAATGATCTAGAGACGGACCCATAATGACAATAATGGGCTGCAGCATCAGAGCCCCTGTGAAATATGAGACAGTGTGTGTGTGTGTGTGTGTGTGTGTGTGTGTGTGTGTGTGTGTGTGTGTGAGCTCAGGGAGGACGTTGCACTCATCAAACTGCACTGAAGTGTGTTTTTATCTGCTCCTGTCTCTGCTCCTGTCTGTCCCTGTCATTCATCCCCTGTAGCTGCAGCTCTACACGCTGTTATCATCTTTTTACAGACAGCTACAGGCGCTCAGATCCTGAAAATGAAGGCACCGGAGCCTGAACACACCCACCTTCCTCCCCCTTCCTCCCCCTCTCCTCCCTCCCTCCTATGGATAATTAGCAAATTAATGATGACGCCTGGAAATCTCCAATAATCAAAATGTCTGCTGTTCCTGGTTTGATGCAACAGGATGCACAGAGGGCTCTCTCCTCCTCCTGCCTTCAATGTTTAATGTGTGAAACACTGATTTTAATCACAAATCAGATGAAATATTGCTTCATGTTACCTTCATGTCTCCTATGACAGTCTGGAAGAGCCCCCCCAGCGCGCTGCACTCCCTCTCCATCACTGTCTCCATCTTCAGCGGTGTGAACGGAAATTACAAACACTCTCACTCGGAGCTTCTGTGGTCCATAAATGAGGCGCCAGGAAACCAATATATGAAAGGGGGAATAAACGCGGATCGGTGGAGATAAAACCGCTCAGACTCTGAGACGCGCTGCAGGTTTTCCCCGGCTGAAGGAGACCAGAACACGGACAGAAGCAGCAGCAGAGCCCGCGGTTATAAATCCCATGTCTGCAGGAGGAGACGCATGTTGGAGCAGAGAGGAACGACTGACAGCAGGAAACAGCACGACGCCGCCGGAGAGACTCAACTTTCCACAGAGAGCTGCTCCACTGGCTGCTGGAGGAGACGCGGCCCGGGAGCGCGCCTGAAGGGACGGGGCCGCGCGTCCGCTTGGCCCCGCCTTCAGCTGAGGAAGCTTTCTGTTAGTGAGGCTGGAGGATGGAGTCCATGCAGGGTGGAGGATGGAGTCCATGCAGGGTGCTGGGTTAGGTTTTACTGCTCTGTGGTTGTGTTCTGTCTGCAGGGCCAGAGACAGCAGATCCAAATGAGCTGCTAACTCTGCTGCAATGACTTTTATTAATGTGCTGTTCCTGTAAGAATAAACAAATAAAATATATACAAATAAAATAAGTAGTGTAGGTTGAAATAAAAATAAAGTTATGGACATAACAATAGAGGCAATCTAGAAGACAAGTCGTAAACATAAGATTCACTCATACTAATAAAAACAACTGAAAAATAATAATAATTATATAAAAATATAATATCAGTTAGATTAGAAATCTACAACACCATTAATGAAAACAAGGGAGCGTTTTAAAAAACGCACTTATGACCATAAATGTCTTAAAATGAATAAAATGTTAGAACATTTGAAAAATAAAACAAGAACACATATATCATTTTCACAGTAAGGACTCCCCCTGTTTGATCCCCTATAGGAGAAATTCAAATGTGGTACAGCAGTACAGGGGAAACGTGTGCAAAGAGCAGATAATACAATAAAATATAATAAAATAAAAATATTATAAGCAAAAATCTAGAATATTTAAAATATCTGTTGAAACTGAACTTTTCAACAACTGATCAGGATATCTACAAAGGTAAAGTTAGGATTTGTTTTCAGGATATTTTGTATTTTTATATTTTCATAGGATAAATGGAAGAAAAAAAAAATATATATATATATATATATATATATATTTATACCTGCAGGTATTGGCTGAATGAGTCCGCACCCCAGTTTTAAAACCACTGCTCGACATTAAAGAGCTTTACAAAGTCATTTGATATCATTACCTCGCAAGTCTTGACTGTTAATGCCCAGATATTTAAAACCACATCGCCACCTAGTGAGTATTTCACTGAATTTCACTGTCTTTTACTTTTACTTAAGTAAGTACCAATACCACTGTGTAAAAATATGCCTTTACAAGTGGAATTGCCTTTAAAATTCTAAGTAAAAGTATTATCAACTCAACAGTTACATTATGATATATTCGGCTACATTATTAATATTGATGCATCAATGATAAACAGCATTTTTCCTTTTTTACTGGTTTTATATGCAGCTTTTATCCAGTGGCTCCCAAACTAGGGGTGGGTCGGGCCCCTCTAAAGAGTCACAAGATAAATCTGAGTCATGATGAGGCAGAAAAGAAGAAAAAAACAGTTAAGTTATGCCGCATAAAGTCGTAGTCATTAGGGACTTACTTGGCTTGGGAACCGGATGGCCTTGAGCAAGGCACCCAACCCTTAACTGTGCCTCTACGTGGCAGCCCATCAGTCCACCATCTCTCCACGTTTGCATGTCTATAAGACCTGCATGTGCATGGTTGTATTTCAGGGCTGTGTGTAAAGTAAGAGTGAAAAAAAGAATTTCCCTCTGGGGATTAATAAAGTATATCTTCTTCTTACTTCTCCGCAGGGACCACACTCGACCTGTTGACTATTTCCATTCACAACTTGAAAATTTGAACCTGACATCACTGTTTTGTTTCACATCTTTCCCCCTTTTACAAATCAAACATACTCGTGAGAAGTTGATTTAATGTCTCTCAGGTTAGTTTGTGGTAGGATTTGATCCTAGAAAATATCTGAATTACCCTTCTTGTCTGTCTCATTGTGATAAACCATGAGTTCTCAGTTCTGACCTTCATGTAAGTTGGAGGACACCTAGTGGTACAACTCAGTCAGTGAACCTCAGTTTGCATCTTGAGGAAAACCTTCTCTAAGCTAAATGAACTGCATATATCATACCAAAGTGCTTGATAGTGTGCCTCTGGCTCGGCCATCGAGAGAGGGTTTGCTGTCTTTCTCAAGGACACATTAGACAAAATCTTTGATTAATCTTTGTTGTGACTTCCTCAAAAATATCTGAGATTGCACCCGAAACAAACCTTTCCCCAATAAAAATACTGGTCACACATTCCTTCTGTGATGTTTATTGTATGTTGTCATTACTGTAGATGGTATACGTGAGCATCATAGCTAACAAGTCATTTTAAGACAAACACATTAATAACCTCATGACTCATTAGTACCACCAAACCGGAAAAATGTCTGCTCAGCCTAAATCCTGGAAACCCTGTCTTAACAGAGAATCCCTCAAACTCAAGAAATTATCTTGAAATTCGGCATTATTTATTCTGTTTTATGTATTTGGTTCTCTTTTTGTTAGATAGTGCCATATCAAATATTTATAAAAGATTTCAGTGACGTCTCTTTAAAATTAAAATTTGAACAATAACTAAAGGGTCTTCCTATCACTGTGCTGAAAATTAAACCATAAATAATCAAACTAACTGTGCAAAATAGTACCAGGTATTCCAAGAAACCCACAATAAAAAACTAAAAAACAAAGCTATTCACAGCACATTACTCCTTCTCTTATGTATTTTGATGCAGATTTGAATCCAGGCACAGATTAAAAAGGTAAAATGAACACATTTAGAAGATTTTTACTCTTGGCAGAGTATCACATCAAATCAAAGAAGATGCTTTGAAAATGCTGTTTCACTTAGACTTTGGCGTCTCTCTCCAGCAGCGGTGAACAACCATGTGATTCCACTACAGCAGCTGAGGGGGAAAACCTGCAGACTTTTGGCCCTAAACTGAAGCTTTGGAGGCCGGACTGAAGCCAGCAGGGCTGACCACTTTGCTGGAGGAAGATCTGGGATCAGATGGTGAAGCTGGCAGAGCTTCAAACAGTCAAAGCTGTGTCATTTTAACCACACAGACTCACTGCTTAATAACACAGAGCGCTGCTTTTTGTGCACTGATTCTCAGTATGTGTCTGTTGAGTGTGTGTGTTGTTGCTCCCTGTCATTATCTCCCCCAAACAGGAGAAGACTAAACTAATAACAGCTATCAGAGAGAGGGGGAGAGAGGGAAAGGGGGGAGAAAAAGAAAAACAGAAGAAGTAGGAGGAAAGCAAAAAGACGAGGAGCCTGAGACTCATGATTCACATCATGTTAAATTGAGTTCAGAAGGTATTTTATGAGTCTGAATTTCCCAAGCCATTCTTTATATTCACATCAGTGCCCAGACAAAGAAACCAACATGTATGTTTAAAACAGCATGAAGAAGAGAGACATACGCGCCTATCTCCAGCTGTTTTGAAAGGAGCATAAAAGAGTCTTCGGAGTGAAAAGACGCGTCTGATGCTGCCAAAGGATAAATATATCACACAGCGACATCATTTACAAAATTATTTTGCTGTAATGGGAAGTACATGTAGGCTACAGTTTGTAAAATGGGTTTGAATGAGCTAAATGACAAGTATTTCCTTTAAAATATAAGGTTGGGCTTTTATCAGGTGACGCCCAAATGTCTGTGCCAAATGTAATCCTGACAGTTGTTTCAGTCTGGACCAAAGTGGTGGACTGCAGACTGACCTGTCCCTCCCTTGAGCCAAACCACTAGCACGGCTAAAAATGTCTTATTTAATACAGTTTAAGGCTATCAACTATTTAAAAGCTATGCAATCTGCTTGCAGTCTCAAAACTATGATCTACACTTGAAAATAACACTGCTGGCATTGGATATGAGATAAAACAAATCAAGGTGTAATAAAAGTGTCAGTCTTGTTGTATCACAGTATATTTAGATGATGCTTTGATACAATTGTCCTCCTCTTAAGTGGTGACTGTTTCTTCAGCTACAAAACACACCTCATTACTGTAAACCATCTCTTACTGGGTTAAAGAGATATGTGTGATATGTGTTGAATGGCAGGCTCTTTGTTAATGACGGCTCATTCATTAGACAGATGTGGTGTCAAGTTCTGCTCTTCTCTTATAGTGAAACTACAGAATATTGGCTTTCAGAGGGCTTTTTTAGGCTCTCTGCTATGAATGTTTCACATTTTTATTCCAATCAAGCACAATGGCAGCTGATTTCAACCATATAAACCTTAAACTAAAGAATTAAACTATGAAAACTGTTGATCAATGTGTTCATGGGTTTACATTTGAAGACATTCAAGTAGATTACATGTTCTTTTGTAGCACCTTATTGTTACTCTACTCAGCTGTCTAGGGTAATTTCCTGTATCAATACCCCAACCGTAGCAATGTTAAGACTTAACTGCAATTCCCAATATTGCACAGCAACAGCAGTAGTGTAAAAAGCACTTAGAAGGTAAAACATCTCCATCTGTAAACAGAAAGCATCCTCAGCCACCAAGAGAACAAGCAGCTGTTTGCTCAATTGTGAGCAGCCCACGGCTGTGAGTTTCAGATCATGGTAGAGAATCAGCAGACCAGTCTTCACTCTTGATGCCGGTCCTCTGTAATTTTCTTGAGAGCAACCACCTGCTTGGCAAACTGCCAACATCCCTGTTGGTTTTAGTTTCAATTTAACTGTTATTCCTGCAGCTGGGAAGGAAGAATGAAACTGCCATGTTTTCTTTTTATTCTTGGGGCAGTGAAATGTGACTTGATACGTTGAACAAGCTTTGTTCTTTGGAACATTAGGATAGTACTAAAAAGGTACGAGAGTTATGTCAAATCACTGACAGTTCTTTCAAGGTTTAGTTACGGTGCTTTGTGTAATTCATAGGAGTGAACAGCTTGCCGCTTGGGAGACAAGGACAAAAAGGTTTATTGCAGAGTGTAACATGGCACACACTAATAATTTTAAGTAATTCCTTTCCAAGAGTATAAACCCAACATCTGATATTAGATGGAGATAGCATGTGTAAGGACATTACATTGTGCAGCAGTGTCCCTCAGCAGGACACTAAACTCGAAGTTTCAAATGACACAGGGAGTGTAGTTCCAAGTACTTTATTCAATTTCAAAGTTTATGCCAAGACAGACTGCTTCCAGGAAGGGGTCAGGGACCTGAGAACAAAAACACACCATTTTAGCAAGTGCAATGCATTTACCTTCATTTGAAAATTGAGGGATAAACTCCTCAGATCTTTCAGCAAAAAGGGCACCTGTATGTCAATTTCAAATGCCAGTCCTTTACCCCCACTTCAGCATTATATCCAAATTAAAAATTCCAAGCTCCTAAAATTTAACTAACCTACTATGGTTGACGTCCATTGTACATAGGCACCAGTTCATGCTGCCACCTGGGGTGGTATGTAGATGCCATTGGATATGGTCTAGGGCCTCTTGGACCAACACCTCCTTGGGAAACAAAGTCCCACATGCCAGCTTTGCTTTGGGTCACATCGTAGCCGGGCTGCTGGGGCTGGGGCTGGGGCTGGGGCTGGGGTCTGGGGCTGGGGCTTGCCAGGGTAGGCGGGCTGCTGGGGCTGCTGGGGCTGGGGTCGGGGCTGGGGCTTGCCAGGGTAGGCGGGCTGCTGGGGCTGGGGTCGGGGCTGGGGCTTGCCAGGGTAGGCGGGCTGCTGGGGCTGGGGTCGGGGCTGGGGCTTGCCAGGGTAGGCGGGCTGGGGCTGGGGCTGGGGCTTGCCAGGGTAGGCGGGCTGCTGGGGCTGGGGTCGGGGCTGGGGCTGGGGCTTGCCAGGGTAGGCGGGCTGCTGGGGCTGGGGTCGGGGCTGGGGCTTGCAGGGGCGGGTGCTGGGGCTGGGGTCGGGGCTGGGGCTGCTGGGGCTGGGGGCTGGGGTCGGGGCTGGGGCTTGCCAGGGTAGGCGGGCTGCTGGGGCTGGGGTCGGGGCTGGGGCTTGCCAGGGTAGGCGGGCTGCTGGGGCTGGGGTCGGGGCTGGGGCTTGCCAGGGTAGGCGGGCTGCTGGGGGGGGGGCGGGCTGCTGGGGCTGGGGTCGGGGCTGGGGCTTGCCAGGGTAGGCGGGCTGCTGGGGCTGGGGTCGGGGCTGGGGCTTGCCAGGGTAGGCGGGCTGCTGGGGCTGGGGTCGGGGCTGGGGCTTGCCAGGGTAGGCGGGGGGCTGCTGGGGCTGGGGCTCGGGCTGGGGCTGGGGCTTGCCAGGGTAGGCTGGCTTGGTCGGTTGCTGATCAGAATGCATCTGAATTCCGTTGCTTGAAACAATACCCGACTCAAATCTGTTTCCATTTTGTGGTAAAGCAAAGTCCCACATGCCAGCTTTGGTCTGGGGGACACCGTTTATTTTAGGATTCGGTTGATATGGTCTAGGGCCTCTTGGACCAACACCTCCTTGGGAAACAAAGTCCCACATGCCAGCTTTGCTTTGGGTCACACCGTAGCCAGGCTGCTGGGGCTGGGGCTTGGTAGGGGGGGGCTGGGCTGCCGGGTAGGCGGGGGCTGGGGCTGGGGTCGGGGCTGGGGCTGGCCGGGTAGGCGGGCTGCTGGGGCTGGGGTCGGGGCTGGGGCTTGCCAGGGTAGGCGGGCTGCTGGGGCTGGGGTCGGGGCTGGGGCTTGCCAGGGTAGGCGGGGCTGGGGCTGGTGGCTGGGGCTGGGGTCGGGGCTGGGGCTTGCCAGGGTAGGCGGGCTGCTGGGGCTGGGTCGGGGGCTTGCCAGGGTAGGCGGGCTGCTGGGGTGGGGGGCTGGGGCTTGCCAGGGTAGGCGGGCTGCTGGGGCTGGGGTCGGGGCTGGGGCTTGCCAGGGTAGGCGGGCTGCTGGGGCTGGGGTCGGGGCTGGGGCTTGCCAGGGTAGGCGGGCTGCTGGGGCTGGGGTCGGGGCTGGGGCTTGCCAGGGTAGGCGGGCTGCTGGGGCTGGGGTCGGGGCTGGGGCTTGCCAGGGTAGGCGGGCTGCTGGGGCTGGGGTCGAGGCTGGGGTCGAGGCTGGGGTCTGCCAGGGTAGGCGGGCTGCTGGGGCTGGGGTCGGGGCTGGGGCTTGCCAGGGTAGGCTGGCTTGGTCGGTTGCTGATCAGAATGCATCTGAATTCCGTTGCTTGAAACAATACCCGACTCAAATCTGTTTCCATTTTGTGGTAAAGCAAAGTCCCACATGCCAGCTTTGGTCTGGGGGACACCGTTTATTTTAGGATTAGGTTGATATGGTCTAGGGCCTCTTGGACCAACACCTCCTTGGGAAACAAAGTCCCACATGCCAGCTTTGCTTTGGGTCACACCGTAGCCAGGGTGCTGGGGCTGGGGCTTGCCAGGGTAGGCGGGCTGCTGGGGTCGGGGCTGGGGCTGGGGCTTGGCCGGGTAGGCGGGCTGCTGGGGTCGGGGCTGGGGCTTGCCAGGGTAGGCGGGCTGCTGGGGCTGGGGTCGGGGCTGGGGCTTGCCAGGGTAGGCGGGCTGCTGGGGCTGGGGTCGGGGCTGGGGCTGGGGCTTGCCAGGGTAGGCGGGCTGGGCTGGGGCTGGGGCTTTCGGGTGCGGGCTGGGGCTGGGGCTTGCCAGGGTAGGCGGGCTGCTGGTGGGGCTGGGGTCGGGGCTGGGGCTTGCCAGGGTAGGCGGGCTGCTGGGTTGCTGATCAGGGTCATTGTTGAAAAATAAATTTTTAAGGCTGGGGCTGGGGCTTTTGCACAGGGTAGGCGGGCTGCTGGGGCTGGGGTCGGGGCTGGGGCTGGGGCTTGCCAGGGTAGGCGGGCTGCTGGGGCTGGGGTCGGGGCTGGGGCTGGGGCTTGCCAGGGTAGGCGGGCTGCTGGGGCTGGGGTCGGGGCTGGGGCTGGGGCTTGCCAGGGTAGGCGGGCTGCTGGGGCTGGGGTCGGGGCTGGGGCTGGGGCTTGCCAGGGTAGGCGGGCTGCTGGGGCTGGGGTCGGGGCTGGGGCTGGGGCTTGCCAGGGTAGGCGGGCTGCTGGGGCTGGGGTCGGGGCTGGGGCTGGGGCTTGCCAGGGTAGGCGGGCTGCTGGGGCTGGGGTCGGGGCTGGGGCTGGGGCTTGCCAGGGTAGGCGGGCTGCTGGGGCTGGGGTCGGGGCTGGGGCTTGGGGCTTGCCGGGGTGAGGCGGGCTGCTGGGGCTTGGGGTCGGGGCTGGGGCTGGGGCTTGCCAGGGTAGGCGGGCTGCTGGGGTCGGGGCTGGGGCTGGGGCTGGGGCTGGGGCTTGCCAGGGTAGGCGGGCTGCTGGGGTCGGGGCTGGGCCGGGTGCTGGGGCTGGGGCTGGGGCTTGCCAGGGTAGGCGGGCTGCTGGGGTCGGGGCTGGGGCTTGCCAGGGTAGGCGGGCTGCTGGGGTCGGGGCTGGGGCTGGGGCTGGGGCTGGGGCTTGCCAGGGTAGGCTGGCTTGGTCGGTTGCTGATCAGAATGCATCTGAATTCCGTTGCTTGAAACAATACCCGACTCAAATCCGTTCCCTTTTTGTGGTAAAGCAAAGTCCCACATGCCAGCTTTGGTCTGGGGGACACCCTTTAGATTAGAATTAGGTTGATAGTGTGGCTGCTGTGAGTTTTGGCTGGGTTTTTGAAGCATTAGCAAGTGAGGCATGGAACTAGAAACACTTCCTTCAGGACTGTAGCCATTTCCTCGCCCCTCATAGGAACCACTTAACCTTCCTACACTAGGTGCAGTAGCAGGCTTCAGGTATGCAGATGAAGCGCTTTCAGTGTAACTGGGTCCATAACTACCCAGAGGCTGTGCAGAGCTCTCATAACTGGAAGGAGCTTGAGCAGGTTTGTAGCTCCTCGGGAAGTCTTCAGCTAGCTCAAAGTGAGGTTCAATGCCGCTGGAGCCTCCACTTCTGTAGGTGAGTGCTAGGGAGACAATTTATAAGTTTAGTAGAAGAAGTTACTAAATGAGACTGTAGTTTCTCTATTATGAATGCTTACCCTTTGCATGCTGCCCAAATACTAATAGTGTGAGCAACAGCACCCTGAAAAAGAGTAAAGTGTGAATGAAACAAAACCAGGTTAGCAGAGTTCTAGATCTGCCAGAACAGACAAAAGTTATCCTACCTCACACAAAATCCAGAAGCCATTGCTCAAAACTAAAGACAAACAATCTGCTCAACATGTGCTGATCCTGAACAGACAACAAAATCTGAAACTACTGCTTCAGCTGCATGACTGCTGCTACCACAGTGGCCCTTTTCAAGTGTTGGTGCTCAATCAAGTCTCACGCTGATGAACTAACTGAAATCAGGTTTGAGATAATCAGCTCCAGTGCTGTCTGGAGACCTGGGCAGGTGTTTGAACTTTAGCTAACAGGCTACAATTTGCCTACCTCTTGTGGGATGTCTGTGGAGAGTTTATGTATGCTGTCATTGATGCACATTTTTTATGTTAGTTTTTGTGGTTTTAGAGTTTGCTTTTACATATTTGTATTATATTTATACATATTTTAAGATTTCCACCTCCGACATTTGTGCACCACCCAAATGCAACAGGATGTTAGGTATGTTCTGTTTGTGGTGCACAATGAATTGAACTCTTTCCATATACAGTACGATGATTTCTTCAATAAGACTGTTGGAACTAGAAAATCGTTGCACCACCAAAAGACTTTGTGGCTCTCTTATTTTATTAAAAAAGTCTACACTGTGAAATAATGAGCTATTGAAGGTGGTCTGTAGGTACTATTGGCAGGGTTTGGCTCCTGTCATGTTGTTTGCAATCAAATTACCCCTTCTATTGTGTCAGAGAAGAAACACACAGCTGACAAAGATGAAATACATTTTATTAACCATCATTCGTGTTACTGGTTACAATATTGTCATGCAAACACTGTTTCATATATTACCACGTTACAAAAAAGCAGCACACTGTGCAGTCATGAAAACAACAAACAGATTTCTTTAATCTTATAACTCAAAACTATATTTGAATCATAAATCCACATTTAATAAGCATTATTTCAACCTCTGCAAAGAATTTTAATACAGAAAAATAGATAAAATTATGGAGATACCCTCTGTTTATTTTAACAAACATAAAATATGTAGATTCATGGGTCTTTTAACACCAGAGCCAGTAAGAGAGGAGATTTACTTCCAGAAAGTAGGATGGGAGAAGGAATGAGTCAAGTGGCAGAAAAGAGTAAAATATGCACATTCAAATTGAAAAATAGAAAGAAAATTGAAGTTTAAATAAGGAGTAGGAAGAAAGAAGGAATGAAAGGAAAAAAGTCAGTCGTTGCGAGGGTCCGTTAGCTGAGTTTGAGGCCTAGACAGAGAGCCAGCTCGTTCTTCTGGATCTTCCCGTCTCCATTGATGTCACAGTGACCCATCAGGGCTTTCCTGAACTTGTCCAGGTCTGTGCCACTGATGCTTGGCTGGAGGAGGAGTGGGGAATTGGAAGAGTTAACAGAAAGGTCAGAGGTCAATCACTCCTGATGGGTAAAAATGTCTCACAGAGAGGGGACAGGAACACTAAACATTTTCTGTTTCATTTCACTGTCATTTTTAAATTTCAGTTCAAGACGCAACTTGAGCTTTAGAAGTGTCTGTAGGAATATTTTTGAACTGTTTTCCCTGCAGTCAGCGCTTATGCTAATCTAAACTAATCTTCTTCTGGTATCTTTATTGTACAGACATAAGAGCGGCATGTTCTCATCTAATTCTTGGCAAGAAAAAGTGCCTTTATAGTCATCAGAGCTCAGTGTGTTAGAAAAAAGTATGCAACAGCAGCATATTCATGATAGATAACCCTTACCTTTACCAGCTCCATCATGTCCTTGACAAATCCATCCACTTCCGGACCCTCCAATGCACCTGTCTTACTCTACACACACACACACACACACACACACACACACACACACACACACACACACACACACACACACACACACACAGAGAGAGAGGGAATAATCTCTTGTAATTATCCAGAGATGTGAAAATCACAGCTGTTCATAAACGTCTCTGTGTAAGCATGGCTCATAAACTTCAATTTTATATCGTCGTTGTATATTCTTTCAGTGTGTTTTTATACATGCATGCTTATCTGCTTGCAGGTGTAGGAGAAGTTTTTGGTGTCGTGTAAGCAGATCAGAAAGCTACACTGACACTGTGTATAAAACTGATGGTAACAAGAGACCAAACCTCAATTAAACACACAAGCTGATGCTCGTTTTTATTGGTGATCTGAACGAGATCAGCAAATCATGATCCTGCTAAATCGAATATAAGCTCTATTTCGCTTTTTGTTTGTAATGTCAAAGGAGAATTCTTTTCCACAGCATGATGGGTAAAAGTGGCAGATAACAAAAACGTCAGACAGTGAACGAGAACAAAAAACTGAACTCAGACTTACAACATCATAGTGAGCAAATATCTTCTCAAAGTCTCTCTTCCTGTCCTCTTGACTGCAAGCCTGACACCAAATATAGCAAATTAAGTAATGAAACATTAATATTCACACAAGACTTTAATGAACATTTACTATTAACATCCACTTCAGGCATAAATAGGAAAATGTAGGGTTTTTTTCTTAAGAGAAATTCAACAAAAAATTCAAATATTGAATTAAAAAGCATCTCAATAAACTCTTCAGACTTACGTCCATCTTAAACTTCAGTAAGAAGTTTTCTTTCAGGGCCAAGATCCTTGAGACAACAAGAAAGATTTGAAGAATTATCCTCATTTTAAATAAAAATGTCATTGTAAAGGATGTCAGACAGATTTAAATGATATCTGATGCTGTATTTTTTCTGATTCCACAGCCAGCTACCTAATGACGCTCCTCCTGGTCACATGACACAGTTCAACAGTACCTGGCCAGGTCATTTAAGTCCAATCTTCCATCCCTGTTTTTATCAAACATCTTCATCTGCAGGGGAAACAAGTCAGAATGGACGAATTAACAACGGATGACAAGAAGACGTCAGCAGTGCTAATATCTGAACGGCCTCCTGTTACCATGGTGTCCGTGTACTCCTCCAGTTTGTCAGGGGTGATGGACTTCCTGTGTTGGAGGAAGAGGTCCTGGAGGAAGCCCTGGAGGGACAAAAAAACACACATCAGGGAGACGCAACTAAAACTACCATCATAAAATTTGAATGTATTAATTTGATGGGGACGATGCAATTCAACATATTTAAAGCACGAAACCAATGTGCAGCGCAAAGAGTTTATAGCTACTGTTCATTTTCAACTCTTGTTCTGAGTTGTACAGAGTAAAAAATATTATTAATTATTATTATAATTAATTATTAAATGCTTCTCGTGCTGCGGCTGCTGGTAACCCTCAGTCAGTAGTTTTTATTTCTTATTTTTTTTATTTTGTTGTTTTCAATTCAGTTTAGTTTCAGTTTGTTTCCAAAGTGTGTGCGCTCGGGGTATCAGAATATTGACTTAGCAATGCCTCCTCATGCTTGTTGCGTTGACAAATTCGACCAAATTCACAAAGACAGACTCAAACTAAAGACATTCCTCTCACTTTGTAAGCTAGTTTTTGCTCTGTTATAACGTTGAGTCCACTCACTTTGGATGGTTGTTCTGATTTGTGCTGACACATTGTTTTATCTTCATTACAGGTAGAATTTTCTTTGTCGGGTCTGCTACAGTGCACACATCCAAACTCAGCAGTTACCTTGAGCTCAATCGCTGAGATGTAGCCGCTGCTGTCTGTGTCATAGTTTCTCCAGATCTACACAAACAAGATATATATGTTCTCTTCAAAATGGAAAGTTTGTCCTGAAGGCAGTCCTAGAAGATCATGCAATATCCAAACTGGACAAAGTTAATGTACAATAGACCTTTTTCACAGCAGCCATTTTGACATGAAATATTAGTGTGAACACAGGTTGTTTACCAATGATACTAATCTTTTGTACAAGTGGAAGTTGAATAATAAATGAAAAATTAGCATGTTGGTGGTCATAATAGGAAAAAGCACTGTTAATAAATCCTTCTGCAGCTTGACCTCAATTCAAACGCTTATTGTGCTTTTTTATATTCCCTGAACGTCCACAGTCCTCCTTCATTCACCTCTGCATTATTTGTTGACCTTTGACCCTCACCCTCATGAACTCCACGCTGTTGTCCAGCGGCGTCTCTCTGCGAAACAGAAGCAGGAAGTTCTCATCCTCCGGCAGCATCATGGTCGCCAGCTGGAAGAAGAATGTTTACGTCCACTGTAACTGAAGATGTCCATATAAAAATACATTTTACAGGATACATCAGTTGTAATTTACACCCAGTTCCTCATTAACTCAGTTCAGCTGTTTAAAGGGCAGTCTGTGTTAGATGTACAATAACTAAGACAATACAACCTGCAGGAGTGAATACGGTACAACATCTAAACCATCTTTATGACCTGGACAAAATCTTCCCAAAGAAATGTCATTACCCAACATTTATGAGGATTGCAGTCTGAAAATATCTATAATATAATGATCTAATATGATATCATTGAATAATATGTATAAATCTGCTTTTCTAAAAACCCAGTAACCGCTGAAATAATATCTAATGATAATATAATTCTACCTCTGTTATCTGCAGACGTCCGTCAGCTGCGGTTTCGTGAGCAGACATGAATCTTTCTCTCAGTCTTCTGATTTTGTCTTCAGTTATCTCCTCCCTCTGAAAACAACATGGACTCCACTTTAATGTAGTGGTGATTTCCTTTGTACTCAGGCAGGATGTCATTTCTAACATCTGAAAGACTGAATGATGACTGGATACGTCTGTTTAGTTCAATACTTAAAGCCACTATGGGCATTTTGATGCTTTCTGACTTTGTTGCCCCCTGGTGGTAGTATTAAATAAAACACTGTGACAGAGAGCAACACACTGTTATATAGATATATCAATACAAACAGTCTCATTTTCCTACAAAAAGAAACTTGTACCAAGAAAATAACATCCATTGATCACATAAAAACTAAAAGGCTAAAAAGATTAAACTGAAAAGTGAAGGTGTCGGCTTCCTTTTTATATTTTCTCGCCACTGAAGAAGTTCTATTTTTATAATTTTATCATGAAGTGGGTATGACGATGAGAAACTTAAAATACAGCTTCATGTTTTAGCTCTTTACCTTCATCCCAAATTTTCCCAGCATGTGTTGGAAGAAGCTGTCCAGCTCCTTCCCCTCGATGTAACCGTTATCTAAAAACACAACCAGGCAAACTGTCAGATCAACTAGATACAGCCACTTACCAGAATATAATGGAGTACAAGTTGTTATAGTGAAAGTAAAATTGCTTGCACAGACAGCCTTTAGCAAAATAAAATTAAGAATTTGAAAGTTGCATATTTTTTCACAACTGAATTTTTTTTATTAAATTAATTAAATGTATTATCCAGCACCGGTTGTTTCACTTCTCACTAGCAAGAGAAGCTACAAAATAGCAACCAGGCAACAACAACACAGTGGACGAAGAACTTACTAAAAGTAAAAGTAATAATACCACAGAGTAGAAATACTAATTAATATGTTTTTGTTAATGCCTGCCACAGGGTTGGATTCTGTCGGATTCTCCTTGAAATCAATGAAACCAGGCTGTAGATACACTACCACTTTTGTCCACAGGGGCCGCCACAAAATCAAAGTTCTTTTTAGCTGCTTTATGTATAAGTAAAAAAAGTATTAGCATCAAAATATACTTAAAGTTACCAAAGCACCAATTATATCCAATTTCAAAATATATATTATATCACTGTATTATAACAATTGATGCATTAACCTGTTGAAACTCACATCACTGTAATAATTCAGCTGGTAAAGGTGGAACTCATTTTAATTACTTAGATATCACTGGGTAACTTGAGAATTTCAACCTAAGGATCAATAAAGTCTTATATGAATCTATCACAACCCATCATAATTCTATAGTTTATTGTATATTTTGTATTATTAATCTGAATCTGCAAAATAACTAGCAAAGTATAAGGTAGCAGAAAAAGTACTTGAAAATTGAACTTAAGTACAGTACTAAATGCACTTCGCAAAATGCACGGGGACTGTATACAGTTCTTGTAGAATGAATTGTTAATTAATTCATTGTTGTGGTCAAATTTACTCTTGTTGTTGCTTAGAAACACTTGTGTCTGGTTCCAAAGAGTATTCTTATCCAAACATAATATCAACTGCTACAACATGATTGATACTGGAGCAAATACCAGGAGACAAACACCCCCAAACCTACCTGAGAGGCTTTAAAATGCCTCAGTTGTCTCTCTCTCACACCACCTCATATCATATCTCATAAATCCCATTATGTCAGTGAAACTAAAAGTTCACTCTTGGCCCTCCACCTTCTGAGGGAGATTCTGGGATCTAATAAAAAACTGTTTATCCTTTTGCAGGACTGGCTGCTTAAATCATATCATTAAAACCCCAAATACTGTGAGGGCAAACTTACAGGTCTTCTGAGGTAATACATTTTTTTTTACATATTAAATTTACTTTTGCCACAGACATTTCTCCAGTCTAAATGCTCCCCCCCCTCCATCATACAGTCCAGTGCACACCCATCAGGAGCAATTTGTGGTTTCAGGGTCTTTCCTTTAGAGGGTAGGAAGTGAACCACAAAACTCATCCTGTTAACCTTGTTTATCACCTGAGTTACAGCCTCACCTGTAGCCCACCTCGTATATTTACTACTTGCTTACTACTTGTATATTTAAATTGGCATTAAATTGCTCAAATTATCACCAGAAGTGAAACGTCCTGTCTGAACCTGAACTGGAGGAGCTGAATAAACTGATGAACACACTGACGTCACAGTCATTAAAACTCCTCTCACCATCTACGTCGAAATGTTGCCAGATCTGTAAGAAACCTGCAGCGTCCAGGCGGTTCAAGGCGCTGTCCATGGTGCTGAGGACCAGTCCAGAGGTCGAGCTGGTGACAACAGAACCGAAAGAAAAGGAAAAAAAAAACCTTCTTCAAGAGACAGACTGTTAAGTCTCAGAGAGAGAGAGAGAGAGAGAGAGAGAGAGAGAGACAGAGAGAGAGAGAATCTGTTATCCAGTGAAATTCTATTTATTCTTATTTCACCTTCAGGCGCCTCTGTAATTCAGCTAAATGAGACTAAAGAGGGATTCAACAGCTTGTATATGAAGGGGGAGAGAGGGAGGGAGGGAAGGAGGAAGAGAGAGAGAGAGAGTGACAGAGTGAGGGGGAGAGAGAGTCTGAACAGTGAAACAGTATTTATTGGTATAAACATACAAATACAGAAATATTTGAAAGCTTGATGTCACATTTCCAGGCCTGTAGGTCCACTGGCATATAAACAATAAAACACATTATTTAAGTCAATTAAAATAAAAAAAGCTGATTTAAAAAAAAATTATAATTTCCAATAAAATAAAAACCATCACCATGTATGATAAATGGAAATCCATGCAGATTCAACAGCACATTTCATTGATAATAAATCCGATTTTCTGCTCAATCAACAATATTTAACTGATATAGACCCCATTTATTTTATAAACACAACCTTAGACTCATAGGAATGTTAGTACATATTTACATATTCACATTGATACATAATACATCAGTAAGTGCAGCAGTACATGGTTAACAAAGATCAGTAATAAGCGGTGTGTTATGGTGAGGATACAGCAGCAGTGTCGATAACTGACCTACATGGTAAATATGAATCTGAGGCAATAAACACTGACACTGATATTCACAGAGGACATTTTGACATGTAATGGCAGAAAGTCCAAATGTCTTCTGGGGAAAGGAAACTACAGTATTTTATAGCAGGGTTCAGCTTTTGGCAGAAATGATCTCACTGCTTGAGTTAAAGCTCAGCGGGTGGAGCCACTGAGGGTTCTGCTGTGTTCACATCACGTAGGACGGACAGTAAGGATTCCCATGTTTATGACTTGCACGTGTTCATGTCACCGGACCATTCAGAGTTGGAAAATACAATGCACTGACGATATAGCACCATATCCAATACATCTGGGGCGTCTGTATCATTTGCCTTTCTGCACAGTACAAGGGACCAGTTCGGATATATTGAACCTTTCGGGACAGTTTTCCTGCCGTGATGTTGACATGAACAGTATTTAAAAGTCGGAAACTGTTAATCACTCTAGTGACTCTAACATGACACCAGCGCAGCATTAACTCAACAGCGAGAGGTTTTATTCTGCAGCTGACTCTACACTGTAAAAATATCCGTTTTTACTTTGTTTCTATCAGGGATTCCTTAAATCTAATCTGATTAGATAGAACAGAATAAAATAGTCAAAAAAAACATTTAACCCTAGTTTGAATTCCAGTGGTCTTCCTTCAAGGATTTGGTATAAATAACTGGGATTTTCTCGACTCTGGTACAAGGATCTTATTCTGTTTTATTTCAGGATGTGTGTTCACCATTCTGGTGATCCATTCTATGTCTGATCTAAATTCAGTTTTGCCAGGATAATTTTTTCGCAGTTAACTGCAGGTGAAAAAAGCTTTTGTTTAATCAGGATGATTTACTCAAGTTTACTTTGTTGTAATACTCATTACTCACTGCTGATGAAGACCTTGAGATTCAGCTGAAAGCTACAGGAAAAAGCAACTAGACACAACGAATGTTACAAATAAACCCTGCAAAACCCTGACTAGTGATATATACAACAAAATATTTGCATTATATTGAATCAAATTAAGCCTATGGCTTATTATAATATCTGGATTTTTTTCTACATACAGTTAATTCCAATGCATGTTATCAAATCTGTTTCCTTGGAATGGAATAAAACCCTCAGCAGTTTTTAATTGGTCAGGTTGTCTTCATTAGCAGTGAAAATTAAAAGACAGTGTTGGTAAAACAAACAGTTTCAGTCTGAATCTATACGTCACTTTGACATCTGAACTTTGGCCGTAGCAGCTGAGAGCGTGGACTCTCTTTGGTTTCTCTTCCTTGTTGTTCCTCTTTTAAACATTTGCAGGATTTCTTGGCTCCCAGCTCCTCCTTATTGTGACATCATATAATTTGTGGACAGTTTGCCGTTTGGAGACAAAAGAGTAAATGTTAGCAGGATAACAAGCCTCTTTGGAACATGTTCATATTTAGAGTCATATCTCCAGAAGAGCTGCTGGGAGCGACCCCTGACCTACCAGCTGCAGTCCACCTGCACAACACAGCACAGTCTGGACCTACTTAGAGAGTCATTCTCCTCAGTGCTTTGGACTAACTGAGCTTTTTATTGCTGGACCTGGTTATCTAAGCAACTACAGATCGTCTTTGAACCAAATAAAACCCATCTGGTCTGCTCTTTGTGGTCCTATTAGAGCTGTTGACAAAGGCAGTAATGGAGCTGTTTTTGCTTCCATTTGACCGGACAGCTGGGGCTGATCCAAGGTCAGAACACTCCACTGACACGTGCAAAATACTTTCCCCTCTGTCAACGAGTGCCTCACCAGGAACTGTAAAAAAAGTAAAAAATAAATCATTGTCCACTTTCTCTGCTTCTGACTGTACGTGTGTGATTGACCTCCAACGGTTCAGGCGATCTGAGAGACCGTGAACCTCTCGTTGGTGTCAGACTGAAGGAGTGTCGTCGGACTCATCCTCTGATTTGCTGTCAGATTTGAGATCAGCGGCCGGAGAGGGAGTCTCCTCCTCAGCTGGACTGAGATCTGAGTCTGCCAGAGATGGAGGGCTCACTGAAGAGATAGAGAGAGAGGGAGAGAAAATATAGATGAAGAAACATGTGGACTGAAACAACAAAAGCTGTTTTCTTGTCTGACTATGAAATTAAAGACCATCAAAGGAAAACTAACAGTAAAATTAGGCCCTGAAACCACTAAAACTAAAACTACGAACACTTTTAAGAATACATTTCACATTTTAAACCAAAAATGACCCTGGATCTAGGAGAAGAAGGTTTAGTTTTGGATACTGAAAACTTTAAGATTTTAAAACCAGAACGCTGTAGTGTTTTTCTGAGCCCATATGTATTTGCATTGGTCCGGTGTAGGACACATAAAGGACAGTTAAAGTGTTTAAAAGCATTTCACACAATGATAAATATACACAGAAGGTTGACAAGGAGTGCGATCCTCCAGGCCGGGTACTAAAGGTGCAACTGTGGCCTTTTTTGAAGTTGATTTGAAAAAAAATGACCCGTGGCCTTGAACAGAAACATTAGTGGAGACTTCAGATAATATATGAAATATCGAACCGTAGGCGGGGAGGGACTTGGCTCGCTCTCGGTCGTCCTCCCTCGCAGCTGGAGGACTTGCTGACCTCTTCAGAGACGACCATGGTCTCCCACTGACGCCCGGATCAACCCCTTCGCTGGGCGGCTCGAACGCATCGCCGTCCGCAGGAAACTCAACTGCAGGCAAAGAATACATGAGAAAACGGATATGTACATACTGTACATTCTTATGAAATAAGAATGTACATTCTTATGAAATATCTAACCCAACACTCTTAATTTCTACTATTTCGTTACGTAAGTACTTATTTGTTAATTTCATATCAACATTATGTGGTAGGATTAATCACTAGAGCAGAATTCATGCTGTCAGCTCACTTACTGAAAAAGATTTTGATTTCCAATAAAACTGTATTTTTTCACTGAAGACGTAACTGCAGTGTCTTAGTAAAAGACATTCACTTCGTCTCACTTTGTTAGTGTGAAATGTGCCTCTTAAAAAAGCCTCTTAAAACGTGTAAATGACCTTTCCTCCCTGTCTCGTTGATTTTAAAAACACATCTTTTCGCACGGCAATCGCGAAAGACAACTCGCCTTTTTGATTACATAGAAGAAACACTGTTTTAAGGAAAAATACTGAGTTCCTGTAAGCGTTAATTACACAAGTCGAGTGTTAAACTACAAAATGACACACGCACTCTGACACTTAGACATGTCAAGTACAGGCTAGGACCTTAGCTTCAGACGTACTGTGTGTGGTGTGTGGAGGCGTCAAATATGGCCTTGAAAGCATTCATTAAACAAGTTGTCACCTGTTAAATTGAGTGTTATATTTTCAGCTATGCTCCGGTTCACACGGAGCACTGAGTCATGCAACCTTCATCATTAAGAAAGAACATATGAGCCTGTCTGCCATCCACTCAGTGCTTGCAGGTGCACTGGTGACTACTGTATTTAAAAGCCTAGGCGCCACTGAATCTTACACACTCATTTAAGTGCTGCACCAAAATTACATAAGCCCTGTCCTGCAAAAAGTACTGTGACAAACATTCTATGTTAATTTAATAGAAGTCTGATCAATTATTCACAGAAATGTTGGCACTTTTAATAGTTTAGTGGCACAAAATCTTAAATGTGCCACTTCTTTGGCATTTAGCTTTTAATTGAAAGTGACAGTAGAGATGCAATAAAGGTCCTCTGCCAAAATAAAACTGTGGATGTTGCAGTTATACTGTACAGTGTTGATTTCACCCACTGAGGCCACCACAATGCATTTTAATAAAATACTTCCAATAACAGACTACTGCTACTACCAACAAATCCTTCAAGTACTCGATTTATCTGAAGCTGATTTCTGACGCGGTCATCATCAGATTCTTTAACTGTCAATGTGTTCTTTATTCTGGTTGTATGTATTAAAATACGATACAAAATCAAACTCCTGTTACTTCTAAAGCCTTGTTCATAAAGGTCAAACAGAGATACCAACCGTCCTGTGGAGACAGGGGTCCTGCAGGGTTACTGCTGGTGCTCTCTCTCTCCTGCTCTGAAGGCGCCCTCTTCAGGCGAGGAGCAGGAAGTGGCCCTTTGGCAGATGGGCTGCCTGCTGGAGCCTCAGCAGAGTCGTCTGAAAAACAAAAATCATTAAAACAATGAAATGATTCTCAGTAAGATACACATAAATAAGAATCAAACTAGTGCTTGTGGTCAAAGCTTCTGTCTGTCTGATTCTCCACAGCTGAGCAAAAATCTGAGAGCTGCGTTTGTTCTTTGACAACCAGGCTTTTGAATCCATGTTTCTCCCAGTCAGTGCCTACCGAAGACGTAGGTGCTGCTCGGCCTGGGGCTGGCAGGACTGGCAGGACTGAGGGGCCCGGAGGTGCGGGTCCCCAGTGGGGGTTTGG